CCTGAGATAACAAGATAACATGAGGTCCATGTAAGAAGCTCTGGGTTGAACTCTGTAAATCAGAAACGATTGTAGCACTCCTGGGTACAACCTACTTGAAAATAGGGAGGGATCTGCTGCAAGACGTGGTTGTTAAAAATGGATGTGTAATTCACAAGGGATGGGTCGTGCGTGGTAGGTAGAGCTCCAGTGTTCTTTTAAATAGGAGCAGTTTCTAGTCAGAAGCATGACACCTGAAGTATGCAGCACAGAGAGCTTCCAGGCGTGCTGGAGTCTGACTTCTTCCCCCTTTTTGAGTCCAGACTCATTCTTTGGGTGTTAACAATAGCACTTTTAAGGAGTTTTCAGTCAACCTGTGCAGATTCTGAAAACACACTGCAGAAGTACAGGCTAAATGACATGTTTGCCCTTTTTTGTGACACGATTTTGAATTCTGGCAGATAAAGCAAATGTTTCTTGGATGAAACTGAAAATACATCAGTGCAATAATGCATTTTAGTTTGGCCAGTGTTGGGTCTTTGCTTTGCAGGTCATCCTTTGAACAAGGACTTTAAGAATCACTAATGCAGTCCTTAGTATTAATTTAAGTCAGATATTTTGGAGAATGTTTGCCTTAGAGATGTAATTGCAACTGTCTTCCCCTGAACTCTTCACTGGGGTCTGTGCTTGGGCCTGTTTGCCCAAGGCAGTGCTCATGCTGGACTGCAGTATGATAAGAGTATTAAATAGAACTGAAGCAGCATCCCATAGGTGAGTTCATCTTTTTCAGTTAACTGCCTGATCAGATCACTCACTGATGCAGCCCTTAAAGCTGTCAGGCTGACACAAGCTCGTCTGTTTCTTGTTACCTTGCAGGGAATTCCTATAGCAAGTCCGCGTCATCTGGATTGTGGTATGCTGCATATAGCTTCCAGCAGGAACCTGTAAAATTCCCTATTCTTCCTGGAAATAAAATTAGTTCTTAACAGGAGGTGACTTATAAAACTGGTCTGCAAGTGGTGCATTTTGCTACACCACTTTTTTTCCTCTTAATGGGCTGCAAATGAATCCTTAATGTTTCTTAAGGTGATGTTGGGAGGTGAGATTTCATGTGTCTGTGCAGTGCAGACCTGCGTGGGGATTGTTCCTGGCATTGTCAGGCTGGCTACTGTGGTGTCTGTGCAAATGCTGTGTTAACTTCCCTCACTCCAGAAAGTGAGGTAGAAAAGGGTGAGAGAACATGAGTAGGAAGGCATGGTTTTGGAACTAGATAGATCTGTTTTGGCTTCAAACTTCATATGGCTCTCATAGGTGCCACTAATAAAGTGCTACATCTCCCTGCTGAGTTTGAAAGGAGAGGCTGAATAATTAATTCCCTCCCTTAAGGTAGAGTGTTAAGGAAACCTGGAGAAACACATGATTATGGGAACCTGGGATATTGCTTCTAGGATGAGGGAAATGCAACAAAGGGACTCTGTAAATGAGGGGAACAGAGTGGGGAAGTGTGTGGATGAGGAGAGCAGACCTGACTTGGTGCCCTAGCAGTGAAGATGCCACTTGGGCTGGGTTCAAGGCCTGGGATGTGAAGTTGTTGGGGACTCCCTCTGACTCCTAGCTTTAGGGCTGCTCCTGGGCTGCTGCTAGATGGTGTGACAGACCGTGGACAAATGAGCCTTGATGCAAGAGGGTGTGATTTATTTTTTAGTTTTTCCCTAGAATAAAAAGAACTGTGTTTGGCTCCAAGTCTTAAGATAATTTATCCATGTTATTCAGCATTGTGTGTTTGAGCTAGAAAATACAACTGAGTAATTTGGACAATAAAGGGAATAAGTGAATACTGAAAATCGAATTGGTTTTAATTATCATTGCCAAAGAAATACTTGTGACACTTAAAACCCAAATGCTGCAGCACTGCTCCTCAGTTTACGACTCAGGTTGAGCTCGCAACTTCCCATGTTGACACCCGCTTGGGTAGCATTACTATTGGAGATTGCTTCCAAAATGATATTTCTGTGCTTTATCTGGAAAGGGCCAAGTGCTGGTTTCAACTTACCCATATTTCTTGCTGCCTGTCACTGGCAAGTGCTCCGACTGGGGCTGAAGGCAGTAAAACCATCTTTAGAGCACAGTAAGGATGAGGCAAGCTCCTGCATTTTGTAGCGAGATAAACTTATAACGTGCATGACCTTAGCGTCTTGCTATTGCAGAGCCTATGCTGAAATAACATTTTAGCAATGCAAATAGTGCTGAAGACTCGTTTGGCTCCCAAGGATGCAATCTGTTGGCTTGAGCCCACAGAGCTTTGAGGATGGCGATGCAGCTCACGCGCTTTTCTGTCTGTGCTGAGAAGGGTGGTCATGTGCAGCGCTGAGCAAACACGTCATCTGCCATGTCTCTGTTAGCAACCAGGCAATGCCAGAGCAACTTGATTCTATTTTCCTGAGGTCTTTACTGAGGTATTCATATATGGAATCATAAAACTGAGCATAAAAGACCTGGAGCGTAGACCTCCAGTGATGGATCATCTCTGTTGGTGGCCCCGCTGTTGAATCACTGATGTCTGACTGCTGAATTGGTGTCGTTGCAGGTTCAGGTCCAGGTCCAGCAGTCACCGCAGCAGGTCTCCGCCCAGCAGCTCTCTCCACAGCTCACTGTCCATCAGGCTTCGGAGCAGCCAATACCGGTCCAAGTGCAGATCCAAGGCCAGGCGCAGCAGCAGGCATCCCAGACAATACAGAGTCAGTCTCTTCAGAGCCCCAGCCCATCTCAGCTGCAGGCAGCTCAAATCCAAGTGCAGCATGTGCAGACTGCCCAGCAGATCCAGGCTGCGGAGATACAGGAGGAACACATACAACACCAGCAGATCCAGGCCCAGCTTGTGGCAGGACAGGCCATTACTGGTGGCCAGCAGATACAGATCCAAACAGTTGGGGCACTGTCACCTCCACCTTCTCAGCAGGGCTCTCCACGAGAGGGAGAGCGGCGGATCAGCACTGCCAGTGTCCTTCAGCCCGTGAAGAAGCGTAAGGTGGATATGCCTATCACTGTATCGTATGCTATTTCAGGGCAGCCAGTTGCCACCGTGTTGGCCATTCCTCAGGGCCAGCAGCAAAGTTACGTCTCTTTAAGGCCAGACTTGTTAACAGTGGACAGTGCCCACCTGTACAGTGCCACTGGGACCATTACTAGCCCCACTGGAGAGACTTGGACCATCCCTGTTTACTCTGCTCAGCCACGTGGTGACCTTCAGCAGCAAAACATAACCCACATTGCCATCCCTCAGGAGGCCTACAACGCCGTCCACGTCAGCGGCTCGCCAACGACACTGGCTACCGTGAAGCTGGAAGATGACAAGGACAAGATGGTGGGAAGTACTTCAGTAGTGAAGAACTCTCACGAGGAGGTGGTGCAGACTCTTGCTAATTCGCTCTTTCCAGCACAGTTTATGAATGGCAACATCCACATTCCAGTGGCAGTGCAGGCTGTGGCAGGGACGTACCAGAACACAGCGCAGACAGTGCACATATGGGACCCGCAGCAGCAACAGCAGCAGCCCACACCCCAGGAGCAGGGGCAGCAGCAGCAGCAGCTACAAGACACTTGCTCGGTAAGTTATAACTGCTTCTCACTCTGTCTGCGGTTAACAACTTGGAAATGTTGAGGAGAGGGAGGATGGCAGCAGACAGCTGATAGGGAAGCAGAGATGTATCCGTCCCAGTAACCTGTTGTAGGGCATTTGACTCCTGATAGGTGTCAGACTGTGATGTGTTGGTATGTAATTATAGGATTCAAACCTTCCTCAAAGTGCATCCTTGCTCTTCGTGGTGTAAAGTAATAGATATGTGCTCCTTGCTGGCTGCTTCATAGCAGGTATTCCGAGGTCTGCAGTCTCTGCTGAGCTGTTGTGGGGGTTGCAGTGGCCAGGCAGGGGTGGTTGCAGTGGAGCAAGGAGTGCAAATACATTACTCACCTCCTTATCAGTTACTCTGTGTTATGCAGCACGTGGGTTCACAGCAGATCCTGTGCCAGGGTGAAGTGTTGAAGTCTCCCTAGTTGGGAGCCCACCTCACGGATCAGGTGCATCTGTAACACCCTGTCCCGCTTCTGGGAAATGCCTGGTGTGCAAGAGAGCAGTAAGGAGCAGTGGCAAGTGAGCCTCTCCTCATGGTGCTTGGCAAACACAGCAGCCAGATTTGTTGCTGATTTTTTTTTTTTTAATAGGCTTTGTTGCTAACTTTAAGCTATAGATTATTTTGAATTGGCTTTTAAAACTTGAATAACTGGGGCTATTAATGGACTTCTGTATGTGCAAATGGATGTCATTGATCTTTTATTACCAGAAAGTGAAAAGTGATTGATCTGTCAGAGCCTGTTTTTGCTGAATGGAATGAGGGCAAAAATACCCAAGTCCGCTAGCATAAGCATTACAAATTCCTTCTGGTTTATAAATAACACTGTTGGCTTTATAAAGCTGTATATGCCCTCTGCTTCATCAGTAAGTCCTGACACAAGGAGGATTACCTACTGTACTTGTATCTGCTTGTTTCTGAGTTGGTGGGCTGTAGCCCACCAAGATCTGCACTGAGAAGGTTCCCTACATCTGTAGATAACTTTCAGGTCCTGGATGCTCTCTTCTATAAAGCTGTACTTCAAGCTGCAGTTTATGGGTCTTGTAATGCATGGGGGTTGGTTTGGTTGGGGTTTTCTTGTTTTGTCATGTTCAGATAATCTTCTGTAGCTCATTGGTACTTCAGAGATCACTTCATCACTTTTAGTTGCTTGAACAAACTAAGTTAATAAAGCTTTTTGGCTTTTGCTAAACAGGAATTTTAGGCTTATTCTAGGGTCTTCTAAGAGTATGGGCCACATTCTTGGGATCCTTCCTGAGGTATTAGCCCTATAATTTCTTTAATGGCTAATTGCAAATCGTCTTCTAACACTGCATATTGTGTGTTAAGTTGCAGCTATTTTGCTCTAATTGTGAAAAACTGTTAAGAAACAACTGCCAGCTCAGAGAATTAAGTGCAGCCTGTGTGCCTGCCTCACACTGCACAGGGTGTCTGTAGGTCAGGGCAGAAGATCATCCCTTAGGCTGGGGTGGTGGAGGTGAGGTGGTTGGCTCTGGGAAGCTTCCTGCCCTCTGGAGTGCAATTGGGCAGCGCTCTGGAGGACACGGAGTCTCTGTCCTCGCTTCTGCAGAGCCAGAGTGTCAGTTCACCCTTGGACTCCTGTCCTCTTCAAGGCAGAGGCTTGCTTGATGACTTCAACGTTGTCAGTATCTGCCTTGATAAAAGCTGGGCCCTTTCAGTCACAGCCTTCCTGTGCTGCTGGTTCTGAGAAGCAGAGAGCTGTTAAGAGCTAATGGAAAAGAACAACTGACCAGAGGCAGTCAGAGGGCTCCAGTCTGAGCTGGAGCTTTGTTTCTGCAGCTGAATTCTGTTACACTAAGTAAGGTAGAGGCATTACTACAGTCTCTAGGCTGTTTTCATTATGGTCTCTAGTACTGTCAGAGCAACTCGCACTGATGATTGACACTTGGCAGTATCAAAGGAAAAGCTGCTTCATTATAGCAAAGCTTTTTGGGGTGGCTCTTAAGGAGGAGAAGGTGGAACTGTTCTGATGTGAGAACTGCCGTCCCTAACATGCAGAGTGCCAGTGAGAATTTGACTAAGGGCTGTAAAGCTTCAGGTTAACCTTTGTAACTGAGGTAGCTGTGAGACTGTGGCATGGGCTGGAGAAGCTGCAGTGAAGAATGCAGGGTGAGTGCAGCTGGAGGGCTCACTGCTTCTTCTACGTAGGTGTCATCATCACCCATATGGCTTTATGGCTGTAAAATAAGTTCCAGTTTGAGGTGGTAATTCCAGATGTAAGGTGCTGCTGCGAAGTAAACTTCCAAAGGGGACGGAGACCCTTTAGGTCTGTAGTAGGTCATAGAGTAGCTCTTCACAGAATAGTAGTGAGCTCTCATGAGCAGTATTGGGTAGTTGGAGAGCATTGCAGTGCAGCTGAAGGGATGTTTGATGCTGGTGTTCTAGTTTGTTATTAATTAATTTCTACGAGGTATAAAGTAATCTTATCAGTTCTTGATGATAACAACAGAGTGTTATGTACTGAGGAATGAAGAGAGGTGGGAGGGATGCTACTACCAGTGTACAATGTGCCATTGTACCCAGCACCTTGTCAGGGCACTGCAGGCTTAGAGCAGCCGTGGTTGGCAGAGCGGATGGCACCTCGCTGAGCCTCCCTGCCAGGGGCTGGGGGTCTCTCTAGGTGCTGTGTCTGTGAGGGGCCTGGGGCTGCTCTTGGTTGAGTGAGATGATGGACTTCAGTGGTGGGTCAGTGACAAGTTAGCTGAAGCCAAGAAAAATGCTTTGAAGCAAATTTGGCTTCAGAATCAATAGTGATCTGATTCAGTGTTTGAGGGGAGACCACAAGTCTGTTGTTGAGAGGACTTCAGCTCTATAAAGATCCTTGCCTTTGAATGTACTGGCTCCCTACTTAGTGGTATTGTGGCTGTTAGGTCTCCTGTGATGTTCTGCAGGACTTCTAAACACATCAGACTGCAAGTGGTGTGGATTTGGTAAATCCCTTCAAACTAAAAGAGTTCTTGGAGAGGTGAATACTCTTTTGTGAGCAGCAATTCAGGTTAGACAGCAAAAGTTATGCTCCTTGGATTAGAGGAGTGTTGCAAAAGGCTGATATCCTGGGCCCAGAGGAATTGCAGCATTACTTGGGGTTTGTGGAACTGCTGCATATCAAAGTGTCTCTATAAACTGAACTGTTTTCTTTCACAGGCTCAAACTGTTCAGGTTGCTGAAGTTGAACCACAACCACAGCCACAGACTTCACCTGAACTTCTACTTCCAAACTCTCTGAAGCCAGAAGAAGGGCTTGAAGTCTGGAAAAGCTGGGCACAGACCAAGAATGCAGAGCTGGAAAAAGAAGCCCAAAATAGGCTAGCACCTATTGGAAGTATGTGTCATGACAACATGGCCTGTCTTTCAAGTGGGATTAGGAGTGACTAAAATGTTGGCTGTTTACTGCCTCAGAAAGCTCCTTTGTTTTTAAGTGCAGGCTTTGATTTACTCTGCAGCACCACTCCACTGCCACAGGACATGCTCCAAGGGAGGTGCAGAGCCAGCGCCAGCACCCAGGCTGGTAGCAGTAGCAGAGGGTGCTGTGACTGTGGTATGTGGAGGAAGAACATGGCTGTGAGTGGCAGCCAGGCTGGTAGAGCAGTCACAGAGCTGATGTTTCCCTGTTGCTGCAGGGCAGCATTTCATTGTGGACATGGTGAAAGAAGGTAATAGTCATGCAGTTGGCAGGGCAGAGAGTCTTCCTGTTGGATTCTTGCCTGGTTTATCTTTTAGTAGATCTGACAGCCTACAATCCTGATTTGCTTTAGTTTTCTTTATACAGGGAGAAGGAGGTAGTACTGGGCCTGCTACACAGAATGGCAAAGCCAGAGAGGTGGGAAATCACTCCTGAAAGGTTGGGGAAGTGGCTTTATGGCTTAACTAACATGGCTTTGGTTTGGTTTTCCAGGGCGCCAGCTGCTGAGGTTCCAGGAGGATCTCATCTCCTCAGCTGTGGCTGAGCTCAATTATGGGCTATGCTTAATGACACGAGAAGCTCGAAATGGTGATGGTGAACCCTATGATCCAGATGTGCTCTACTACATCTTCCTGTGCATTCAGAAGGTAGGGGGAGGACTGCTCTGTGCACCAGAGCTGTGCGTCTTGTCAGCATGTAAAGGGAGGGTTCTCTGATAAAGACAGGGAGGTTGTGGCTTCCATGAAGCTTCACAACAGTTTTGCAAGACAGAGTCTCTTTGCTTAAAACCAGACAAGACCCCATCTAGACGAAATGTGATCAGTGCACAGCAATGCCCTCCCTTCATGAGTTAAATTTGTGAAGCATTATTAATAACCGAGTTCAGGATCGTGGTGAGAATAATGAATTTTAGGGTTTTAGGCAGGGGAGGAGGGTTGGATGATGCTTGAGGCAGTTGTCAATGTCAGAACTTGATCTCGTTGAAGCTTTAACAAGCAAGAACTTAGCTTTGTGGGATGTGGGAAGTCTAAGCTGGTAATATTAGTGTGCTTTCTGAGGAGCTGCAGGGTGGAGCTAAACTCTGAGAGGAGAATTGAGTGTCTCCCTCCTTAACCTGCAACAGTAGCATCCAAAGGACAGTCATGTGAAATAACCTGAAGTGAAAGGTGAAATCTCAGCAGCTTCACTTTCTAAGATGGGTTTTTCCTTTCCCTCCTAGCATTGTCATGGCAGAAGCTGAGATTACCTGCCCTGCACCGGCCTTGGTGCAAGGGTCCTCCCTCTAAGTAGAATGTCTTCAGTGCTAGGCTGTAAAATGCTTGACTAACCAGTACTGGGCTCTTAGGCTAAGGTCTGGTGTGAGGAAGGTGCTTCCTCTGACGCTGCTGCACTGTGTTGTGGATCTTTCAGTATCTCTTTGAAAATGGCCGAGTAGATGACATCTTCTCAGATCTCTACTACATTCGGTTCACTGAATGGCTGCATGAAGTTCTGAAGGACGTCCAGCCCCGTGTTTCCCCTCTTGGTAAGAACTTTTGTTTAAGAACTTTAAACCTTTCTGGAGCTTGGGATGATTAGACTGAACTGCAGCAGAGTGTAGTTTGAATAGAAACTCTTTGGAAGTGCTACAGGTCTCTGGGACAGCTCCTGCTTGTCAGGGAGAAAAATCCTGTGTCTGCAGTGACTGCTGGGTTACTGCACGAGGCAGGCTCTAGCCCTGTTAAGGGCTATTTGTCTGTCACTTCTCACCCAGCAGAAGGCAGGTTGTTGGGACTTTGTAGTGTCATGAGCTTGACTTACTTGGAAGCCAGCTGATCCTTGATCCTAACCAAGCTTCCTCATCTGGAGTACTAATACATCTTGCCTCTACTATGTATTGTTACTTTGGGAGCTAAGAACAACGCTGTCACGTTGCCTTGTAGCCAGATACTGTCTGCAGGGCCAACTAAGTGTCAAAGGAAAAACCAGTGTGTGTGATCAGAGCCTTGATGCTGCACTGAAATGCAGCACAGCCCTGGGCTGAGAAGATGATGGCAGCAGGGGTGAGAGGAGCACTTCCAGAAGAGACAGATTCTGACGGAATTATGTATGAGAACTAGATTAAGAAGTGCATTTTCAGGGCAGGAAACCTGGCTGCTCCTGCCTTCATTCCCTTTGATCTGATGGGACTTCAGTGAAGAAGCTGCTGCTTGTGTTGAGCGCAGGAGCTGATGTTACAGGCTCGATGGCTCAGTAGCACTGAGAGTTTGGGAATCCTTTTGTTTTCACTCTGGCTCTTTGATCTGTGTTTTGTCATTCCCAAGCCCCGGAGTTCATAGTGCTGTCTGTTTCTCTGTTTATCTGTGTATTTGGAGTATAGTATTTCTCTTTTACACAAAGGATAAAAAAAAATCTGAGAATCAAAGGATTACTCATGTGTCCAAATACATCACTTGGCACTGTGTGCTGACTAAAGCTGTGTGCAGGGCCAAGAGCTGATTTGTTACACTGGCCTGCCTGCTCTCACATATTATTGGATTAGGAGCATCTGCATTGGAGTCGAGCCATTAATTAAAAGCTGTTTAAGTGCATGTTTATTCCTCTCTGGGCTGGTATGCATGGGCGTGCTGCAGAAGCATACCCTCCACAGCTAGAGGTTGAGGTATGTATTGAAGTGGTTCCTAACCATACCTCCTGTTGGAAGTTATTTGCACAGTAGTGACCCTTGACACCAGTGAGGATCTCTTCCTCCTCCTCCTCCTCCAGATTTAAATATTCTCCAGTAGTTACAGACTATAAATTACTGCTGTGATAGTTTCCTGGCATGATACTGACTTCTGCTTATTGCAGGTTATGTCCTCTCCAGTCATGTAACAGAAGAGATGCTGTGGGAGTGTAAGCAGCTGGGAGCTCACTCCCCGTCCACCTTGCTCACTACACTGATGTTTTTTAATACAAAGTAAGTACTCAGGTCTTTGAGGATCTTGGGGAATAAAAGAACTTCAGATGCTCCATCCTTCAGGGTTGGCAGGAAACTGCTGCACTGGATTAGGGCAGAATCATGGATTCTGAGTGGCTGCACACAGAGCCCTCCTGCAGCCTCATAGGTAAAGAAGATGTGGAGCAACAAGGAAAGGAGCTGCAGAGGGGAAACTGAACTTGTGCTGTTGCTTTGCTGCTGGAACAGTCTTTAACTGGGTGTTGGTTTGAGCTTCAGCTGAGCAAAGATGACTACTTTGCTGTTGTCCTGTATCCTTTACTTGCTCCTGAATGTCCTGTGTTCTCCTTGCCGCTCAGATACTTCCTGTTGAAAACAGTAGACCAGCACATGAAGCTGGCCTTCTCCAAGGTGTTGAGGCAGACCAAGAAGAACCCTTCTAATCCCAAGGATAAAAGCACGAGTATCCGCTATCTGAAGGCTCCTGGCGTACACCAGACAGGACAGAAAGGTAGTGTCTGCAGGTGTTTTGGGTGGACTGTTTACTTACTGGGCTTGAAGGAAGTGGATGAACCATGAGAACCCAAGGCTCTGCCAGTTACTCTCAGCCCACATGTGGTCTGTGTGAGAGAGTGCAGTACCTTCTAATAATGAGCCTGGGGACATAACCTTACTCTGGGGTATATACAAGACTCATCAAGAGCTAAGGATAACTTTGTTACTTTTATTTTTTATGGATAAAGGGTCTATTGGGTGTAAGTGCTTATGAACAGAGGGAGAAACTTCTTTGGGAGGGCTTCTCTTACCTTGACTCATGTGAACCCGTATAGAATCCGTATGTAAGTACAATCTGTCCTCTTCAAAACACCGACTTGGGGTTTAGCTGAGGCATTGCAGTCTCAGCAGTGAGATTTCTCTCATTTTGGGCTGTGCAGAGGAGAAATGGAAAGGACGTGGATGGGTTGTGATCTTCAGTAGCATCGGCATAAAGCAAGCTTTCCATGTAGTGCTTTGAGCATTTAGAACCAGGTGCCCCTGCCCTGGCACGGCTGTCTGTCTCTTGTATGGTGACATGGTGCTGCTTGGCACTGCTCAGTGTGTTGTACTTACACAGTGTCTGACACACTTCTGGGGGGGCTGGGTTGTAGTTACAGATGACATGTATGCAGAGCAGACTGAGAATCCAGAGAACCCCCTGAGGTGCCCCATAAAGCTGTATGACTTCTACCTCTTCAAATGGTGAGAGCTCTTGTTCATGTCTATCACTGCTTGCCTTCTGTGACTGTTAAGCTGCCTCTTGTGGCTGGCCTAGTTTTCAGGGCTGTGTTTTATTGCTGGCACAGTTTCTATATTTGCATAAATTTACCTAAAATGGGGAGGGGTGTTGGTGTGAGAGGGTGGGATTTATTCTGACAGCACCTAAGTTGAACTTTGGTGGTATTTAAAGGAGACAAATCCTCATTTGTGAACTGGCTGCTCTTAATCTCATACTCCAGAGGTTTGCTGTGTTGCCATGAGCTCGCTGTTCTACCTGGGACTTGTGAGCATCCACTACTTGAGATGAGATTAAGAGTCCTATTTAAATTAGTTTCTGAACAAAAATGAGGACAACTTATTGGAGGGAGCCTCAAAGGACTCTCCTCTAAATTACGACTCTGATAATGAATGTAAATGTTCCTCTGCACAGATGGGTCTGCAGCTAACTTGGCTGAGCACGTATCCCATCCTTGCTTTACTCTGAGAGACCCCCAAAGCCATGTGTGTGTTACACTTAACCAGTGTGAAATAAAAATCACTTTCTTGTAGTCATCACTGTGGCTTTTTACCTTGGCATGGCCTAAAAGCTTTGGGACCGATGTTGTCCCTGGATGTACCTCTGTACCTTCACATCTCATCAGCCAGAAGTTCACTGTGGGGGTTTGTGGAGCCTGGGGTGAGGACTGTGCTGGTCTCTCCTGCCCAGGACAGTCTGTTAGCCTGGTTATTTCTCATCTTCCTCACACAGCCCCCAGAGTGTGAAAGGCCGGAATGACACATTTTACTTGACACCGGAGCCAGTGGTGGCCCCCAACAGCCCGATCTGGTATTCCATCCAGCCCATCAGCAGAGAGCAGATGGAGCAGATGCTCACCCGGATCCTGGTGATACGAGAGATTCAGGAAGCTATTGCCGTGGCTAATGCCAGCACCATGCACTAAGGCATCCTTCTTGGCTCAGAAGGGGTGGGGAGGGTGATGGGGGAGGGACAAGCAAAGAGAAATTGTACAGACTTTTACACTAAAGGAGATGCCTAAGTTTTTGGTTTTTTATTGGTGTAGTTATGAAGCCCTTTTAGGCTTCTTCTCTTTAAAAAGAATCTAAAGGAAAAAAAAAACCCTACCCATTGTGTATCCTTACCCAACACACCAAACTGTTGGAACCATTGGAGGCTGCATATCCCCTGCGAGCTGGGAGCTGTGGAAAGCTGCTGGTTGACTCTGGGTTGTTGGTTTTTTTTATGATGTAGAAAACATGAACCTACAGGATTGGCCTGGCTGGCTGGGGCCTCTGTCTCCTTGGAGCACGTGCAGCCTAGAGGGCACAGAATGATGGATGGACCTGCTCAGCCAGTGGAGGAGAGGCAGGCATCTTCTTTTCTTGTGCTTGGACGTTAATTTGCTGTTATCTTGGAAGGAAGAGGAGAGAGTGAACTGCAATTGTGATTTATATAAAAACAAAAGCAAACCAACAATTTCTATTCAGACCTTTAAGTGACATTTTTAGATGTTAAAAGTACAAACTTTACCACACTTTTGTTTTTTTTTTTTTTTGGCCTAACGTTGAGGCCTTAAACCTTGAGGCTCCTGTGCCTGATGGAATTCTTGTAACATACACTTGTGTATCATATAAAGATACCACCCTGTTTCTCTTATGTATTCTTACTCTAGTTGTTTATTAAGAATGACGAGCACGTCTTTTCAACATGCCATTGAACAATGTGTCTTTATTTGGGGAAGAGTGAGCTGTGAGGGTGGGGGGGTCATTATACAAAGGTCAGTATGCAAACTGGTTGTTTTCATCCCTGTTTGTGCTTTCCAGCTCGACTCCGCTGGACTTTTCACCTAAATTAGGAAGGTAGAAGGAGATTAAACTTCTGCTGAAGGACCTGAATGTCTGCTTGCTGATGGAAGCTCAGTGTCAGGCTAGGAACATGGCATCTGTGAGAGCAGCTCAGACTGTCCTAATGTTCTGTGGCCAGCCTGTGAGGCTTCACCCTTAGGCAAATCCCCCTCTCCTCACCTTCACAAACACATCACACCAACAGCCTGATGGAGGGGTGTTGGAGGGAAAAGGCCTTCCAGGAGCAGCACATGGCTTACTCCTGCCATTTAACAGCCTTGTCACTGTTTTTAACACAGCTGTGTAGCTTCTGGCATTGTCCATGATCATAACCCCCAGCCCTTTAGCCTTGCCTTGCTGCATTTTAAATAGTTGCTGTATTTTATACCATTAACAAATAGTCTGCTCTTTTGAAGCCAGCGGGTAGCCAACCGTGCTTGAAATGGGAGATCACTCCAGCCAGGCTTGGTTTTTGTGCCACCAGCTTCTTGGATGCGGAGAGATGACTCTGCTTCTTGAATTTGTCTTCCCTGCTTCTCCATCCAATGTCCTTTCCCTGTTCCAAAATATATAGATACATATTTAAATATATATTACAGTAAAAGGACTTAAACTTGTGTACAGGCAAGCGCTTTTTCTGAAGCTTCTATTGACCAGCCCCTGTATTGAGAAGGAAGGTCTGCCTCCTCTGTCAGTGTCAATGCTGAGAGTAGCCACAGTGTTCCCTGTCTTTGTGCTCTTGAGCAGTGTTGAGGTGTGCAGGCTGAGAGAGACTTGAGCCTCTGATGCTTTGTATTGATGTTGGTGTTCATGAGGAAGCAGCTGTGCTTGAGTTGGTTCTAAGTTTGTTCCCTGAATAGGACTCCGTGCTCAGATAGGTGCAGAGAGGTGGAGTGGCAATGCACTGTTCTTCACCAATACCTGGGCTCTGAAGTAGGCTCTTAGCTTGGTGTCTGCTCTCAGAGTTATGCCAGAGGGAAAATGGCCTGGAGCTGGTGCCCAGATCCCAGTGGGAGTTGGGAAGCTGGTGCCCGGTGTGTGTAGTCCTAGGAACTCATGAGCTCAGTTCAGCCACTGGGAGCCAGCAGTTGCTCCCTGTCAGGGTGGCTGTTGGGATTGCTAATGCTGCTTCAGCTGTCAGAGGCCTCTCATCCCTTCACTGAATCTTAGTTGACTGCAATGTCCATCTCTAGCCCTAGTTTAAGTATTTAAGGACATGGTTAGGGGCAAGTTCCAAGCAGCTGGGTGTGCTTGTTGCTTGGCATGCCCAACAGGCCTGTACAGAGTGGATTTCTCATTCTTTTGGGCAGTTTGTCTTCTGAACAGAGTTGCAAAGATGTGAGAGGAACTGCAGGCAGCTGTGCTCAGGGTGCTGTGCACTGCATGGGGAGCTAGCTCCAGCATTCCCACACCTCAGAGTGAGCATGCTCCATTGTCTCCACGAGAAATGGTGTTGAAGTCATCTGCCATATGCCCAGTGTACAGGCTGCTTCATTAGGTGCCCTTGGGAGTTGCCTCTTATTCTAAAAATTGCCAGAAGCTGGATTCACTTGACAGAACATTAGGGCAGTTCCAGGTTAGGGCTGAACTGATGCCTCAGCTGAGCTTTCTGGGGAAACAGAATTCCATGTTACCTTGAAATTCTGGACTGTGCACTTCCCTCACTGCCCTGAACTGCAGGATGATCAACAGTCTTTGTAGGGGAAGAGTTCTCCTTGGTCTTGCAGTGTACCACCTGAACTTGGCACGTGGTGAGCTCTGGAGATCTGGCGGTTGGTTTTGTCCTGGAAGACCAAAGTGTTTCCATTTCTCATTGTCCAGCCATGCATAGGAAAGGGATTTGCTGACGGGGAAGTGGACTGCTGTACTGTCTCATCAGAACGTCCACCCTGTTCACTTCATTCCCTATTTTCAGAGACAATCGATATACTGTGACTTAAGGATTGTTTTCCTGGACCTGGCTTCTAGTCTGGCTCTCTGGAGCTGGTTGAAAAGGTACAGTATTTCTAGGACATAAATATTATGTTCTTTGATAGCGAAGAACATGATCTGCTCCCTTGTAGGGGCTCATAGGAAGACGTGCCCAGAGTAGCACAGAAGAGTGCTGTGGCTTAGGGTTGCTATCCAAGTTCTGGGATGTGTTCCCAGTCAAACATGTAAAATAGCTTTTTAACACTTTCCTATAACCAGCTTGACTGCTGCTTTAAGGGCATTCCCCTCAGCTCCCAGAGTGCCAAACCGCTAGCTCCTGTACGTGTATGTATTAAACAGGAACTCTGTGCCCTCTGCCTTGTATGAGACAGGCTGAAAATGATCTCTGCGTAACTAAAGCTGAGAAGTCAAGCTAGAGACCCTGCCCTGTTGGTGTTCTGTGCCCACCTTGTCCCTGAGGCGTGAAAGGAACCATAGGAAGCGGAGCATGATTGGCTATTGTAAAGCACCTCACCTTCGGACATGAGGCTCGTGTGCTGTCTGATCTCTTGGCACTAACAGCCTGGCTTTCCTAAGAGAACTCATAGCTGCGTACACACTTGTTCATGGCACCACTAGATGTTTGTTCAGTTCAAGTGGAAATGGCTGAAGCAGCAGAGAGCAGACTAGAGAGTGGCTTTGTGCTCTGATCTAGGGTTGTGAGTAAAGGGAATGGTCTAAATAACTTCATAGGGCTCTCATCTGTTGGCTGCCTCACCCCTAGAGATCTGGATTTCAGATGGGATACAAGGTCTGAAGTAGTTCCTGAACTACTTGGGCCAATGAAAAAAGACTTAAATCTGATCCCTAAAGAGGAATCCTCTTCTGTGCTGTTGCTCCTAGGGCAGAAGTTAAGGACAGTCGTGTTCTCAGCTGCATCAGGGCTATGTTCTGCCTTTGCGCACACAGAAGGGATTGTTCCATCTTCACGCCTCCTGTGCTGCGATAAGAACAGATCCAGCCATGGCAGGAAAGAGCCCTCTGAGCATTCTTGGGGTGGAGGACTTGCTGATACTGTAGTTGATCATCGTCCTGCTGGTCTGAGTGCTGCTAGACACAGATCAACTCTGGCAGTCCAACCAAACTGCATTCTCATTCAAGTTTAATAGTGACTTACTTGCAATTAGCATTTGGCCTCTTAAATCACTGCTAAAGTGAGATATAAACTGTCTTCCACCCTACACACGGTGCTTTTCTCCCCATCTTGCTGCAGCTGCTCCTCTCAACTACTGCGGGGAACGTACCTTATCCTGATGCTTCAGCACGTTCTGTTTCATGGTGCCAATGCTTAGGGAAGAGCCCTCTCAGCTCAAGCATCTTCCTACCTTAAGGAGCATCTTGCATCTTCCAGCAGTCTCACTGACACACTGCTCCAACACCCCTGAAGCACTTGCCCTGTCCCCTACTTGTTGCTTCCCTTCCTTGCGTGGCTGAAGCCTGGCTCTCAGCACTGCAGTCCCTTTCCCTGTATAACCTCATGCATGGCAGCCACATTTGCCTCCCTGGCCCTTCTCCTTTGAGCCCATCAGAAGGGGGAGGCAGGTTTGACCCTCCTTACAGCAGCAATAAACCGTGCCTAGAGCTTGAGGGACCTTGAGGTGGAGGGGATGTCTGGGACAGGCAGGGTCCAGTTGCAGCCCAGAGCCTCGCTTGATCATGAGTGTGCAGCCTATATGCAAAATACGTCTTGTCTGTCCCTCCTGTGTTGACCCTGGTCTTAAACAGCACATGTGATTGGCATCCTGCAAAGTGACCTTCAGAACTCTCCAGTAGCTTTGCCCCGTGAGTAACTCACACTACAAATCATTTTAAAGAGATGCACTCAACTATTTTTTTAATTTAATTTTACTCTTATATTCTCTGCTCTTTGTAATCTGCTTGGAAATAAAATGTTTTTTTCCCTGCAGCCTTTGTCGTATAGTCTGTTTGAGAACCATTAAACGTCACCTGGTGTTTCTCTTGGAACAGAAGCCAACCTGTTTTACTGCTGGGCTTTAGCCTAACAGCCGAGGTCAGTTTGTGCCTCCCAGGTAGGCTGAGCAAACCTTTGTTAGCACTGTCCTTATTTAAAATGAGGGGTAGAGAGACCCGTTACACTGATCTTGCTCTGGCACGGTGCCTCCTGTTCTGCTGAGCCTGTCACAGACCTTCACTTTCAGTGCTGGGAGCCCAAGTGCTTCGTTTTGGGCAAAGGACAGAGCTTTTCTTACAGCTCCCTGGCCCCAGCAAGCTGCAGACGATGGGAAGTCTGGGTCTGGCTGGGTGAAACCAGCTCTTAGCTGAGACTCAAGCCAGGAGTTACGTAAAGAGGTAAAACCAGCGTGAAATGCAGTCTTGGCAGGGAGCAGGCCTTGAAACCCTGCAAAACTCAGTGTAGTGTAATGACAAGTGCTGTTAGCACGTGGCTGCAGGGAGGGGATGGGTCGGTGTTGGCGTGTGCAGCGCTCGCACCAGGATTGTACCACTCTCGGCCTAACGTTCCGAGCAGCGTTGTGGATCCTCACTGCTGGCTCCTGCCTACACAAGGGCCGCACCTACCCTTGTGCCAGCAAAGGGAACGTCCCTGCGCCGAGCCCCCGCGGGCGCGTGTTCCCGCGCAC